CCCTTGCCTTCCAAAGAAAGATGAAAAACGAAAACAAACAAGTACAAGTACAGTGTATATCAAACATTTTTGTCCGCGAACATTGAGCAACCGAATTTTTTAGAACCTAGCGCAGTTTTTGTAAAAACCATATCTGAAAATGGTTAAAAATCTGGGTATGGTATAAGTACTTTTATCGTTCATCCGGGCATTCCACAAGGTTAGAGTCTCCTTGCTACCGGGTCGAAAATGGAGAAGCCAACGCTAAAACAACGATTGGACAGTTTCGCCAAATTCTTATGGAATGGCGAGACAAAACAGTTATTGGGCAGAGGAGGAAGAAGCTGGGGTATGTTTGCATTAAATAGAAATCTAATTTGTTATTTCAATTGGAATTTGTGCATGTAATTTCAGTATTTGGTGTTGCCGTTGGTCCTTCTTCCAGCCTTCACTTCACTGCCTTCTCACTCCTCCCTCCTGCCCCAGCAGTGCCAGCCCTGTCTTGTCTGTGGTCCAGCTGTGCAGATGATGTTACAACTCTGGTTGTATGACTTGTCTTTTGAGGCTGAGTGTCTGGAATCTGTTCTTTGTTCACCATACCCAGGAATGTAGCCGAAGCCGGACGGCGGACGTATAGATCGTCAAGTCTTTGATTGTTGGGAGAACATCCTCCATCCTTGAGTCCAAACAAAATCGGATCAATAGTCAACAGTCCTAGATATAGAATCTAGATCTAGATCAATCACTCATGATAAGGTTAGGCTTAGGGGCCTACTTTCAATGCAAAAACAATCTCAAACCTCCTAATTAGGCTACAGTTACAGTCGAATTTGTCATAATAATGAAATCTCCCAGCTCTCCGTTTAATTACCAATTTCCCTTTTATTACCTCTACTCTCTACAAAATAGATAGCCTACCTGCTTATTAATCCAGCCAGAAGCAAAAAGAAAAATTCCCTCCCTGCCCCTCACCCTCACCTTTGCTGTTTGAAGTTTCGGATGTCTGAGGGTTTGGTCGAAATGTATACAGACCCGGTAACCGGGAACAAAGTCACGAAGTATACAGACCTGGTAGGGGAACTCTTTTGTGATTTCGGGAAGTTTCAGCCCCCAGACCCGGTAGAAATCTAGTGTGTGTGTGTGTGAGAGAGAGAGAGAAGGGGGGGGGGGGGTTGCTAGCAAAATGTATATGACATGCCCCAGTTGGCAGGAGGGAACGAGAGAAAGATAGAGTGGGAAATAAGTGGGGACAAAGAAAGACAGAAACAAAGAAAAAGAGAAGTCGAGCGAAACGCAGAGGAGAGAGAAAGAAAGAGAGGACTGCTCGATTGAAATTATGACATTGTAACTTGTTCTTTTCTTCAAATTGTGATTCCTCAATCCAACTCCAAAACGGAGGAAAAACGATCGTTCATCGAAAAGACATCCGCAATCTTCATTTAGATCTAGGCTAGCCGCGAAACTAGATCAAAGATTTAAGTCTGTCTGTCTAGATCTAGATCTAGAAGAACCTAGGTCTACCCTGAGCCAAGAGGGCGCTGAAACTCTCTGAAATCACAAAAGAGTTCCTTTACCGGGTCTGTATACTTTGTGACTGTTCCCGGTTACCGGGTCTGTATACATAATACACTCCCTTTTATTTTTACTCATGCACCCGTCTCATGTAGATCTAGATCTACATGCCCCCCCCCTGACCTAAAAGGAAACTAATCACAATGATTTGATGTTTTGGCAATGGAAGTGGCTATCCTCACCCGGGGTGAGAATAAAAATATGATCGACCTCTCACCCCGGGTGACTTGCGAGCGTTGGCTATTCTCACCCGGTGTGGAGCAAGACCTGTTTTTCCTAATTTCAGAATACTGTCCATCGGTGTGGATGATCAAATTGACAAAAGCAAAGGGAGGACTTCCGTAACGAGCGACCACTATGAGACAGAGCAGAATTGAGGGCTTGGGGTAGGGGTAAGGGTAGGGTTAGGTCTAGGCCTCTTCTTTATTTTGTTTGATGGGGTGGTCGCTCGTTACGGAAGTCCTTCCAAAGCAAAGAAAAAGCGAAGTGTATACAAACCCGGTAACCGGGAACAAAGTCACGAAGTATACAGACCCGGTAGGGGAACTCTTTTGTGATGTCAGAAAGTTCAGCACCCAGACCCGGGAGTGTGTGTGTGAGAGAGGGGGGGGGGTGTGACTGCTCGATTGAAATTATGACTTCATTCTTTTCTTCGAATTGTGATTCCTCCAACTTCAAAAACGGAGGAAAAACAATCGTTCATCGAAAAGACACCCGCAATCTTCATTTAGATCTAGATCTAGGCTAACCTCGCAACTAGATCAATGATTTATGTCTGTCTGTCTAGATATAGACCTAGGCCATAGAGCTAGTAGAATCTAGGTCTAGGCCTACCCCAAGTAGCTTTTACTGTAAACTCCTTGGCCTACCCTAAGTCCCTGAGCCAAGAGCTAGGCCCCCAGATGTGTAATCGGGAGGCCTAGGCCAAGAGGGAGCTGAAACTTTCCGAAATCACAAAAGAGTTCCCCTACCGGGTCTGTATACTTTGTGACTTTGTTTTTCCCGGTTACCGGGTCTGTATACACTCCCAAGAAAAAATGACGTTATAAAATAGCACAAAAGTAAGCTAATTTGGTCGTCTACAAGAAAGATGCAATGGCTATTTCACTTTTCGAATCGAGCCGAACTACGGGGACACCATTTTGTTTTGCCCGAAAGTTCTCGCAAGGTCTACCTCCTCCCCTCTCTCTCTCTCTATCTCTTTCTGAATACTGTCTATCGGTGTGGATGATCAAATTGGCCAAAACAAAGTTTAAAAATGATGTTAAAACACAAAAGTAAATTAATTTGGTCGCCTACAAAGATGCTACGACTATAATTTAACTTTTCGAATCGAGTTCTCGCGCTACTCCTCTCTCTTTCTCTCTCTCTCTCTCCACTGCCCACAGACAAAATTGCAGCGCTTTTAGGCTAACAATAGTAACACAAGAGCGCTGGAACGTTTGTTCACGGCACAGAATTCTACAATTCTGTTATCACAGTGTAGAATTCTGTGGTTCAGGGTGAACGCTACACTGGTTGGCCTAGCCTAGGCTATAACTATAACAGTGAATGCGCACCGGGTGAGAATAGCCAAAAGGCTCGCCTGCGCTATTCTCACCTGATTGATTCCCATCATCCAAAATTTGATGTTTTGGCAGCTAGGATTATTTACTTAAAAACGGTTGACTTGATTTGCAAGGGTTTTAGTTTTGGCCGGCTCTATTTCTCCGAACGGTTTCCGATCTCGAGATTTTTTAATAATAAGTGAATGGAGTGTGTGTGTAAGGTGTGAACGGATGGTGGGGGGAGGGGGGGGGGGATTTTTTCTTTACATGAAGGACTTTAGTTTTTGCTGGGTGACTAAATGCAAAATAGGTTACTGCCAAGGTCGAACAGTCTTGTTTTCTCGCAGTACCTTTTGGAGGCATTTTCACATGAAGTATGCCCGGGAACGTTGCCCCAACCACAACTGAAGTATCTGAATCTTCAGACATTTCAGCCAGATGCGAATAGATTTTAGAGGCTTTTTTTGTGGATGTAAAATAAATCTACCCTCTTACCCACCTCTTTGACAATACTTTGTTCCAGCGAGTATGTTTTGTGTCAGCAGACATAAGTACCATGTGTGTATGCCTAAGAACAAGATACCAAAAGTCGGATTTTTACCATTTTGAGTTAAAAGTAGTACTTTATAGGAAATTCAATGCTGAACACAGGGGTCTTTGAATTTTGTAGAACCTCAAATAGTTTTTGAGATATTGCACATTTTGCGAGGTAGGGTATAAAAATTTTGAAGTTTAACAAACGTGAGAACACTTACGAACAAAATAATCCAAAATAAGATATTTAGAAGTCAAATCAATGAAAACCCTTTGAACAGATTGTAAAAAAATGGTGGATCTATCATTTTGTTATGGAAACACATTTTGGTCAAAAATGATTTTTGTTATTATCAGCCTGAAGCTCGAAATGGTCTTGGGCGACTTTTGGTACCTTTCTCTAGGCGCACACACATATGGTCGCTTTTAAGGACTAGCAGGCTAGCCCAGATTTCAGGGGTTTCCAGAAATCATGACCTACACCAAAAGTGGCATTGCTCTATCTATAGAAGTTTGGTTTCATTGTTGTGCATATTTGTAAATCTCCCTTGTCTTTTACTGAACAAGGGACAAAAACTTTGCCTTGGATTTTCTCAAAACAGCATTTTTCGGGATAGCCACCTTGTGCTTAATAGCGACCATGTATACAAATTTTGTCATCAAGTGCTCTCAACCTTTTGTATTACATTAGGATTACTTGTTTTCTAGTTCCTACTGGATTTTTTCTTTATGAAAGTTGTAATTGTTGAGTCATTTACAATGATATAATGGTCCACTTTATTTTATTATTACTGTTTGACCTTTAAGGGACTCGGTGCAGAAAAAAAAAACATTTCTTGTAAAATATATTTATACTTTTCCTATTATCTTTTCCAGCTGAGATTGGCCTTTTCTACCTGGTCTACTACGCCTGCCTAGCTGGATTCTTTGCTGCAACCATCGCTGTGTTTTACCAAACCATTGATTCCCATCATCCAAAATTGCAGGGAGACAGCAGTTTATTGAAAGGAAATCCAGGTAACAACAGTGCACATATTTTTTAGTGGAATGTTTTTTGTCCATTTAATATTGTCTTTTGGATTACTCGCCACTATCTGGCTCCCATTTCTGCTGCAGAACAGGTGAATGCCAAAAAGTTCTGTTTCCCAAGTCCAGCTTTTAACTCTTTAAACCCTGAGGTTTTTCTTTTTCACCGTTTCCCGGAGTTTTTTCCTACAGCTACCTAAACCTGGCACACTATGTCTCATTATAACCTCAAAAGCTTGCCTCCAACTTCTAAATTACAAAGGTTTGGTCATTACTAAACAACTTCCACTAAATAAAATGGAACAGTTATCACTAGAATTGGGAACAGAGTTTTTACTGCTGGAAGCTCCCAGTGTCCGATGGGGTTGAAAGAGTTAAACCAATTAGCTCCAGGGATTTAGCCTGATACATGCCCTGAAATCTTGGAAAAGGGAGAAAATCCTTTTAAAATAAAAACATGACATGGAACCCCCCCCCCCAACTATTTCAGGAAAATACTGCTTCCTTCCTAGTGAGCCAGTTTCTTTCAGCTGCAGTGTTGTGCGGGCTAGTTATTTAGTTCTTCAATTTTAGTTGTGACTGTTGGGTTTTCATTTGTTGGAAAATTCCTGCTTTTGTGTAGCAGTGAGTGAAGGCACAGGCCAGTGGGAGAATTTAAGAAATAAAACGAAAAACAGCACAGAATTTGAAACTTGAAACTATCAGCTGTGATCATGAGCAATCAGGATGAAAGGCTTGTTGCACATTCTGTTGTTTCGCCTGTTTCTTTTGTTTTTCCAAAATTTAAACTCACAGCCCCACCTCACCTCTGGGCTCCTGACTCTTTCTGCAGCCTTTCTACCTTAGCTCCTTCTAACTGCTGTCTTTCAGCCACACCCCTGATCTTCTGATAGGAAAGATCTGCACCTGGCTTTCTCGGGCAAGGGTGAAAAAACTTGGAGGTCCTGTGTTGAAGTTGTGCACGTTAGATCCCTTGGTGGTCTAAAATCGATTAAGAGTAGGCTTCGGCTGCCGCTCGGGCAAAATTCAAAATTTCGTACCTACTGAAAATGTTCAATGTGTCCCGCGCGCTCATGACGTTATAACGCAGTTGTGAGTGCCAAAAAACACAAACGTGGATAAAAAACAACAACATGGTGGTGGGTGGGCAGCCCTGTTAAGATGAGACATTTTGTGCATTTTTGGTGGTCCAGTTGGAATACTCTCTAGCTACACACTACACACCTTTACTAATCTTTGCATTTTTATGACCTGCTTGCGTTGCAAATGACATAAAATGTTCTAAATCTTTTTATGTCTTTGTGTGTGTCCTCAGGAATGGGTTTCAAGCCAATGCCAGATATCGATACGACTCTTGTCCGTTCCACGAGAAACCCTGAACTCAAGAAACATATAAAGGCCATGACCAAGAGTATTACAGATGTTCTCGAAGGTGGGAGAAACCTTTTTTCAGTTGGTGCTTTCTCTTTCCTCATCCTGACTATCGTCATTCTCTCTTGTATGTTTGTCACTCTCTTGTGAACTGCTACTTCTTTCCAGGGTGCCTTGATAGTCGTAGCAGACTTTGCGCTGTTGAAGCTAGAGAGGTGAGCAAAGTAAGTCTGATTCCCCGTTTGGACTTCTCTGTTGACATCCACCCTTTGGCGCTCATATGACCGTATGCAGTTGCGAGCGCTGTAAAACCTTACTATAAACTAGTAGAGAGATTGGATTATTTCCAAAGATATAGGTTATAGTCACTGAAATTAATATTGTACATACACGTGTAAGTAAAACTTTACCATATGTACAAAGATTTTTATGTCCCTCCGTCCTTTTAATACCAAAGTAGAATTGCAATGGTGAACTGAAAGGTTTTTGGTGCTTACATGACCAAAACTTGAGTCAATAGTGGCGTAAAACATCTACTCAAACAAAAAAACAAACACCAAAACAATCTCTCATGCCGTCCCGCCCCACAGATTACGAAATCGACACTCTGGACAACACAGACTGCGGCGGCATTGATGAGACGCGCCCAAATGCCAAAACCTCGTGCAGGTTCAACTACACTGCCCTCACCAAAAACTGCAACGCTGGCAACAACTTTGGGATGGACGACAACCAGCCCTGTGTCCTGCTCAAGTTGAACAAGGTCAGGGTCGGCTGTTGGCAGCTGTCAGATTTTTTAAATTTTATTTCGTTACGGTCACTGTGGCAGAGCAGATCCGCCAAGTACTTTGATCAAATTGGAGTCCTCGGATTGTTTTTCCCTGTCAGTTGAAGATACCCAGTGGGATTTGCCAAAAATCTTTTTTTTTCTTTCCCCCTTGAATTCTTTTTCCAGTTATATGCAGCTTATCATAAATTGACGTGGAAATACACTAGTTTGTTCTTCTCAGAATATTAACTAAAAGTCAGAGATTGGAGGGGGGAGGGGGGGTTTGGATTGGAGTCTGTAGAATCTCAGTAGAGTAGGTTTACTTTTATGTACTTCTCTTCACTCACAAGTATTAATAAGAAACGAATCAACCTTATAAGAGAGAGAGAGAGACTTTGGGGGAGGGGGGGGGTGTATTCACCATGCTGCAGCAATTTCTCTTTGTGGAGATCAATAGAAATATCTCTCTTTCTGTAACACAATACCCAATTGTTTTTCCCTCAGATCTACGGATGGTCGCCCCAGGTCTGGGATTCCTCTGAGATTGACAAAGTCCCCAAGGAAATCCGCTCCTCGTACACACCCGACAGAATCTGGGTGTACTGCCACGGAGAGGTAAGGAACTCCATCAGGGGTAGGGCTGAACATGGTACAACCCTTCGCAGAGTTTTGTGTGCCGCCCCCACAAAAACAAAGAATTTTAGGAAGCATATCGAGACCCCAGTGCTGTCTTGTCCTATCTCCATTTTTAATAACAGTGATTAATAACAGTTAAAACAGTTCATAACAAAGCGTTAGCTGAATAAGATGTCACATTTTCACTGTTTAAAAAATGGAGATACGCCAAGAAGGCACTGAGGTCGTGATATACTTATTTACAGCGAAGTCCACTTAAGAACATGATAACTCTGAAAACAGGGGTAAGCTGATAGAAAGTATAATCCCTGGTTTTTATTGAATTTTTTTTTTTTCCTTGGCTATTTGAGCAAACTTTTAAAACCAGCAAAGAAAATTCAGCGAGCCTGCGGATTTTGGTTGTGGTGCTTAGAAATGAATAAATTTTGGAAACTATAACCCCATTTGTCGGTCTAGTTGAGAAGAGACCTTACTGTTGTAGTGCTATAGAAGTAATGAAGAATGTTGAGGGCTGAAGTCCTCTAGTTTGTTACAACTCTCAACTGACTCCCCTGACAACAGTTTGGCGGGTGCTTTGTGGGCACTCTGGTGTTGCTTGCTTGTTCTTTCCCACCAGACATCTATCGTCCTTATCTTTATTTTTTAAAAATTTTGTGGTAAGTTTTTATGGCGCTTGCAACTGCATACGGTCATATGAGCGCGCGGGACACATTGTTCAAACATTTTCGGTTGGAGGGAAATTTTGAATATTGCCCGGGTGGCAGCCGAAGCATACTCTTGTATTATCGATAACCTCCTTCTTTACTTTGTATGTTACTCTCTAGTAACACCTAATCTTTGGCGCTTTTATGACCCGTTTGTGCAAGTAGGGCCTACTATAAAAGCCGTACTAAAACTAAAAACTCTCCTTCTTTTCTTTGTACAATACTCTAGTAACACACTAATCTTTGGCACTCGTATGACCCATTTGTGTTTCAAATTGCTACAACTGAAGAAAAGAAAAAAATGGACAAAACGAACCCCCCAAAACCTCCAAAACCAATGATTGTGTGGAATTGTTTCAGAACCCGGCTGACGAGGACAACATTGGCCACGGTCAGATCGAGTACTACCCCATGCAAGGGTTCCCCCTGGCCTTCTACCCCTACCAGAAGCAGCAGGACTACCGCTCCCCTCTGGTGTTTGTGCAGTTCCGGAACGTCACCCGGAACCTGGGCCTGATGGTGGAGTGCAAGGCTTTCGCCAAGAACATTGAAGTAGATCAAACTGATAAGCAGGGCAGTGTGCACTTTGAACTTTTGAACGACCCTTAGATGATATGACCTTGTTAGTGATATTATTGTTTCGTGCAGGGGGGTTTTAACATTCGTCAACTGGGGTTTGTGTGGTTTGGTTTTGTTTTTTATTTCTCTCCTCACTCAAATTTTTAAAAGTAAATTTTTTTTCTCTTTCTCTGTCCAGTCAATTGGGCAGAAGCTATCGGTAAGGATGAAAATAATGGTAATGTTGGCTGTCTGTAAGGTTTTAACGGGTAAACTGAGAACTGTGGACTGTAGTTTTTATGCTCAGTGTGTGAGTAAACGGGGGCAGGCCAGATTTTGGTTGTTGTGGAATTTTTTTATCTCACCCAAACGTTTTTTTGTACTTAAATGTTGTACTGGACCTGCTTATACTGGGCCCCCCTTTTTGTCCTGGTTTGAACCAGACTCAGGCTTCTTCGATTGAACTTTTTCTTCCCTCTCTCCTCCCCCCGACCACTTTTAGTTGAAAGGTATTAGATCTAAGAGCGAAAGTGTTTATGTGATAATCAAGCTTATCTATATTATACACGTGTGTATCAGCAGGATTGAAACATTCCCCTTTTGAGACTGAAATGAGATGATGCTGAACTCTTTTTCATGATTTTTAAACTTTTTTTTTTTTCTTTCTTCCCTCCCATTTCGTTCCTCTTTATGTTTGTGGAGTGTTGAGAGGGCTCAGGTTACTCCTCGGCGTAACCCCCACCACATTTTAGTGGTGCTATGATCATCAAAATAAGTCCATACCCCATTATTCTTGGAGAAGGGCACATGAGGGGAATTTTTTGTTGTTGTTTTTTTTTGTTTCCCACCAGTGAAGTTTTGCACGCAATTGTTTTTTTTGGTTTTTTTTCCCTTCCCTTGATGGTTACATGTATATGATGTGGTATGTACGAGACCATAAGGAAATGCTCGCACTGTGATGAGTGGGTGTGAAAGTAACAACAGCCCTCATGTTCTAACCTGTACCTGCCACCTCACACCCAACCCTACCCTCCCGTATTTTACAAATACTTTGACATGTGTTCATTTCCTCCTGTTGATGTCTTAAAACATTTGTGCAATAATACCATTGTTTTAAGGGCGTCTGTTTATTCCTGCTTTTGTCTCCCCCCCCCCCCCCCGTAATCCACCTGTGGGAAAATAAAACCAAAATAAAGACACTTTTCTTCCCTCCCCCCCGTGTTTCGACGAAGTTTATTGCTCATTGTGTCATTCTACACAGATGCCAGTATTTCATTTTACTTTCTCAGTAGATCTGACTCACCTCTGTTCCCAGTTTTTTGTTTTCTTTTTAAATTTGGAAAATTTTGTGGCAGGGAAGGGAAACTGTTAATAGCGAATTCTTTGATAAAATGTTAAAATAATCACAGAAAAAGCATTTATATCTATCTATCCTTTTTTTTTTTTTTTTTTCACCTCAAAATTCGTCTCATCTGTTTTTGTTTACCAAATGCTTTGTGAGCGGTTATTTATAGTCATCATCTACCATTTTGTTATTTTCAAGAAATAAAAATCGAGGTTGGCAACAGTTGTGTGACTTTGTGAATGCTCCACTGTGGAATGAAATTTTTCTGTTGTACTTGTTGCACCATATTCTACTAGGTGTTTTGTAACTATTGTTTATAGATGTCACTTTTAGAACATGTAAAATTATGAGATGATCATGATGCTTGACCGTGCTCTGACCCACGTCTGTTCTCTGTCTTCAGAGTATTGGCCATTGCATAATTTATGTGAAAAGTGACCGTTCATATTCAGCCGTCAATTTTTTTTTTTTTTTAAACAAACTGTTCAAATGATCATATTTCAGTCGGTGAGTGTGCTTTTCTTTTCATGTATCTGGAAAGGGAAAAGGAATGAAGTTCCTAGTTTCTGGACTGATTTCAGGTCATTTGGCTGCTTAAATCTATGCACATGGATTTGATACATTGAGCTCGGCTCGTGTGATATAAAGGATATATTTCATTTAATTCTATTCTCTCAATAATGAATTAATTGTTTCTGTGTAGCAATCATTTTGCTTTCATCTTCTCATCCAATAGAGCTTGCTTCTATAGGCCAATTGGTTAGGTGACCATGTTTCTTTTTTTTTTTACTTGAAAAATTATTTTTTCTTTTCGAATTGGCTTCTTTCTGGGTTAATGTTTTGTTATCAGATCTTCAATACCTTTGATCTCGTACAAATAATGGAAAATGTACTTTGTAGGTTTGGAAACTTGTCTGCCTTTCGTGGCAGTGAGAAACCATGGTGTCATCTATTTTTCTTTTCCTTTCTCATCGTGCTGTCAGGCTCCATGATCACTGTTATGTTCACGGTTTCCTGGCATTGTGGTCACCTATTCCAACTCTGGTCGTCATTACTGTGAAGTAGACTAACCTGCTTGTAGGGCTGGAGTGCGTTTATAAGAAGCCAATGGTTTAATTCAGCCAGTACTCATCATACCATGAGCAGCTTAGAAATGTGTAGCACAACTGTTAAGTTTTCTCTCACAATTCTGCGTAGGTTTATTTGAATCTCACTCTAGCATATAAAATTGTCATCCTCATTAAGAGCCTCTCATTTTTTTTATTTTTTTTTTATCATGATAGTACTGTCTTTTTGTCTGTTGCACAAACATGGGTTTAGTGGCAATGGTCTGATTGTTTATTTGTGGGCAGGTGCATCTCCTGCCTGGTCATGGTTTAGAGTTAGGGATGAGGAGATAAAATGTGCCAACAAAAGTGACCACTCAGTGGTCTGCCCAGGTTAGCTAGTATTACTAGTAACTTCAGTGAGAAAGTTGTTGTATTTGTGATGCGAGTGTCGTTAAAACTTTTACTAAAACTAAAGTGGAGGCTTTAGTGCCCCCCCCCTTCTAGGTGAGATATTTTAGATGGTGTTTGGCTGCTTTGCCTATGGTGCTTGTCTAACTAACGAATGTGGCGCTGTACTGTACTGTGAATGTGGACGGCGATAATCAAAGACTTACATCAGAGTGAGTGAGTGTTGTTGGGCAGTGGCATGTAGGGATATACACACGGGCTTGTCTGTGTATGTGTGCGACACAAATATATACGTCTCTTCCCTGGATAGGAGCTGCTTCTTTCAGGTTCATAAAAGAGTGGTTTTTAAAACTCTGTTACCCGATGGAGACGCTCCACAAATCTAGCAACTTTCGCTCTTCCCAGAATGAGCTGAACTTTGTGATCTGAAGTTGGAACTTGTGAACTGAAACCAAGTTAGAAAGAATTATAAGGGAAGTGTGGAGCTGCTTTGTAGTTTTCTCCATCAGATTTTATTACTTTTCTACCCATTTAGATTTAAAGCAATCAAGCCTCTTCACACTGCTTTCATGTCACCGGGGGCCAAATGCACATTCAGATCAGTTTATTTGCTTGTGTGTTGAGCTTCATTATGTATAAATGTCCTCGTCATGCATTTTTATTTCCATTAGAATATATGTAGTCGGAATCAATTTTTGAGAAAATAAAAGTGATTAAAAAATTACTGGTTTTGTTTGGGTTTTCTTTCCCCTTTTTTGTCTCGTGTATTTTACTCATTTGATTTTTCCTCCCTCATTAAGACCGATGTTGTGTTTGTGCTTCTCTGTACTCGGGGAGAAAAACAATGATCTTTAAAATAATGTATCATGCATCATCATACCAGCGTCTGTACGTGATGTTCTACGCTGTTGCACACAAAAAATAGGTTCACTTCCTGATGTTTGAAAACAAGTACATGTACCTCAGTTTGTTAGTCAAATTGAGGTTGTATCTTACTCGGACCCATTGGTGGGTAGGTTTTTCGTAGCATGTGGGCTTAGAGGAAAACTGTAATGCTAGAGAGCAACCTCAGCAGAAACAACCAAGCTGAGAAGTGAAGCGCCGACAACGAAAGGAAAACGGCTGAATTACAAAGCTTCGATGGAAGTCACTGACATGCAAGTACTGCGACAGAATCTGCACTTCAAACATAGGAAGAATTAGCCATGGAAAAAGCTGCATGAAGACAACCTTGATCATCTTAATAACTTATTTCTTAAGTAGATTCTAAATTGACCGTCTGTTTAGACGAAAAGAGCCATACCTCAGCTTGTTAGTAAAATTAAAGTTGTATCTTACTCAGACCTATTGGTCTGTCCCCGTGGTTTTATGCACCCCGCTTATATTTAGCAAAATTTGATCATTTTTTGCATAATTTCTGATTATTTTCCTTAATAATTCTTCGATATAATTAATAGAATTGCATAATTTAACCTTTTTGGGCTCAGTTTTCATGATTTCATAATTTTTCTTGCATAAAACGACAGAGACCGATTGGTGGGTGGGGGGTGCTCCTTCTTTCCTATCAAGCATCTTCCATTGCCCTTATTCTCCTCCTTTCCTTTCCTTTATATGCTACTTTCTATGAACACCTCTGAATGGTTGGTGGGTGCTCTGTTGTGGTTTGCTCCTTCTTTCCTATCAAACCTATCATTCTGATCTCTCCTTCTTTTCTGTGTTTGTTACTCTCTTGTAACACCTCTAATCTTCGGCACTTATATGACCTTATTGTGTTGCAAGTGCCGTAAAACGCTTACTAAAACTAAAAGTTAAGTTTTGTTCTACTGAAAGAAGATCAATTGCAAAAATCACCTTACTTTGTATTTTTTAAATTCTCTATTATTATTAGTATTAGGCGAAAATAGCAGTAGGATACTCACTGTTCTCTTCAGAGGCTGCAAC